GTAAACAGAACAGGGGAAAAAAATATTGAAACGGTCCAACAATTGGCAAAAAGCCACTGCTTTCAGAAACATGGAAATATATCTATGATACAGTATTTTAAAATATATTTCCATATGACCCTGAAAGCAATGTATTATATGTTAAATGAACCATATCCTATTTTATTTATATTAATGAACTGACCATTTGGCCACAGAGCAAATAGCAACAACTTTGAAAGGATTAGTACCACAGCATCTTGACAATATAAAGATAGAAACTGGTAAAGTACAGTATTAGAAAACATATTTAGAAATAAAGAAATATACATTGAAATGATCCACAGTTTAATGGAACTTAAATATATACTAAAACAAATGACATCAAACTTGTGAGAATGGAGCTTAAAGTATGGTTAGAATAAATTTGCAACTTTAAAATCATGTATTAAGAAAACAAAGCACTACACTAGAAAATCTACAGCAAATATAAAGGCGAACTATTAGCCTTTCTCTGACAGAAAGCAATACAATGATGGTGTGTTTTCTTTCAAGTACTACACTGGATATAGGGCAGCAAAGACAGGCAAATATATAAGCATTATAAAGAAAATTATCACTTCCAAGTAATTATCTATGTTCACAATAAATCTCTGAAATAGAGTGAGATTAAGATTAAAAACAATTTCATTATAAATATATGGATTAGAAATTACAAGATTTATCAAAAAATAGTTAACTAAGTTATGAACACATGTAAGTCCTTCCAAAAGTTATAAAACAAATTCTGAAATGCATATAAATTCGAGGAAATGAATTACTTATGTCTTTTAAATGTGTTAATTCTCTTCAAATTATATACAGACTCCATCAAAAGACCAATGTGTTTTTTTTTCTTTTGGTGGAACATAACCTGATTCTAAAACTCACGTGAAAAAGCAAAAGTCCCATGAATAGCCGAGAAGTTTAAAGAGCAAGATAACTCTTAATGCTATGCATTAAGTCAACATAAAGGTAAGCACTATAAAATAAAACAACTTCTAAGGAGTTTGATTAACAAAGTGGGTACATCTAGAGCTGTAGTAAAAGGATTTTTTCCTCCCAATAAGTGGTGCTGAATTGTCATGTGGGTGGCCTGTAATATCAGGAGGCTGAGGCAAGCAGGTCCCAAAATTTCAGGCCATCCTGAGTCTGTTTCAAACAGAAATCAAACAGAAAAAGCAGCAGGGATGTAGCTTAGTGATATGAGTGCTTGTCTATCATATGCAAGGCCCTAGGTTCAACTTCTCCTCATCTCTTCCCATACAAATGTGCACAAGGTGCTGGGACAATACATATGTCAACAAAAATTCAACCAATTGCCACGGTACCTAAATGAATTCTAGGTGGACTATAAAAAGCTACAGATGAAAGAAAGGTAAACTTTCCTGGAAAACAACCCAGGAAACTATCTTCATGGTTTCAGGTTAGAAAAAGATTTAAAACAAGGCATAGAAAGCCGTACACATAACAAAAGACATAAAATTAATTCCTAGCAACTTACAACACAATACTGATGGCCTTAGTTTGTGAGGGCTGGTTGTAACTTAAGCTGGTCAATTAAAGGCTCAGGCTCTTTGACACAGCCTTCAAAGTCTCTCTCCTGCATACAGGCTGATCTCAAGTGTCCTTAGACATTGGCCCAGGATTTCTCAACTCCATAGAGGAAAGGATGTTGTAATGTTCCTTCCAGAACTCTCTAAGGGTTAAAATCTCTATCTGAGACCATCTGAGGCAAATAGCTGGCATTCAGGTTGTAATTCAAGACTCTAAGTTAAAACTAAAAATCTATTGTAACCCAAGTTATTTATATATCAGGCTGGTTGTAACTAGAGGACCCACTGTGTGTATACAGTACATAAAGAACTTCTAATAAAAGGAGAAAAATATGCACTAGAACCAGTACCTTAGAAAAAGGTAATCTCATTAGTAAGCTGGAAAAGGCAAACTACACAGAAAAATCATTTACCCTCCAGAAAGACAAAATTAATTAGAATGACAAGGACTTACTAGGATGTGAAAGCAACAAAAACTTTTTTTTTTTGTACTGGGGATTGAACTTGGGCCCTTGCGCTTGCAAGGCAGGCCACCGAACTGCTAAGCTAAATCCCCAGCCCCAACAAAAACTTTTATACTCTATCAGCAATTCCATTTTTAGGCAAAAAAAAAAAAAAAAAAAAACCAAAAAAAAAAAAAACAAAACCCACAAAAATGCAAACATATGTAAAAGAATATTGTGTAAAATTAGTAAATTTGTAATATCCCCAAACTGGAAACTACAAGCATCTATAAACTAAATAATGAATATGTGAATGTGAGCTACAGAGACACAAGGGAATTCTGTATCAATAGAAATAAAGTTGCTTCCAACCATCTGCATAAATCTCACAACAAAATAATCTAAACACAAAAATATATACCCTATTATTCCACTTACATAGTTCAAAGAGCAAGTGAACTTAAACTTACTGAAAAATATGTAGGTGGTGAAAGCACAAACCAAAGTAATTACTACCATAAGAGCTAGGAGTGATTACTTTTGGGATGCTAAGTGAGACAGTGACTGGGGAGGGGTTGAGGGCACTTCTAACACTGGCATAGTTCTGCTCTCTTCATTTGAGACATGGTTATGAAGTTGCCTACTTTATTTACTAAGGTGTACATTTCTGTGTCTGTTATATTTCATAATAAAAATCAGACTTCTACTTTCAAAATTTAGCACAACTGCAAACCACTGTGGAGCTCTATATCTATTTCTCAATCTTGAGTGACTATACATAAGGCAGATATCTGAAAAAGCCCACATTAAAGCGTAGCAACTCCAGTAAGATGAGGAGTTCTAGAAGTTATTCAACAATGTAAGTGTACTAAATACTACATACTTTAAAATGGTTAAACTGGTGAATTTTCTTATGTGCATTTTTAGATAAAATTTTTTGTAGTGCTGGTGACTGAGCCTGATTACACATGCCAGATAAGCATTCTGCAACTGAGCTACAGCTCTGTAAACTTCCTTGTTAGGTACTAGCTCCAAATTTTATGATCTTAAGGCCCCTTGGCTATGGAAACAGTACCACTCTACAGGACACTTATACTATCTTTTGGCTTCATGGTTTAGGGACTCAACTGAAATTACCACTGCAAACCCAATACATTAATAATGTACAAAGGGTGATCAAAAGATCACTTAAATAAGTATAAATTTTAAAAAACTTGTTTCTGTAAGAGACATTGTCAAGAACAATGGGGTAAGTTTGAAGCAAGGGGAATGGAATATTTTGAAGGGGATTAACAGCAATGTGCCTTTTACAGTTATTATTTTGAAAAATTTAAACATTTACTGTATTTTATGATCATCCCTCGTTAAGTCTGAAAACTGAATTTTGTCTTTGGACTTGCTACCTCAATGCTGTATTTACATTACAAAAGACCAGTGTCTGAAAGTTGCTTTGCAGTCTAAACTTTCAGAGCTCATCTTTACATTTTAACGTGATACAACACTCTGTTACTTATCATACACATAAAAACTTAGAGATCTAAAGAATATCGTAAGTCAATTACAGTAAAACATTGGTTTGCAAGTGTAATTCCTTTTGCAAAGATACTTGTAATCCAAAACACTTGTATATCAAAGCAAATTTCCTTATAATAAATAATGGAAACTCAGGCAATTCATTCCACAGCCCCCAAAATTCATATAAAATGATTATAAAACTGTAAAATACAAAATATAAATAAAAATAACCTGCACTTACCTTTGCAAATCTTCATGGCTGTCAGGAGAGAGACGAGAGAGGAGGCTTATTGAGTAAGAAAACTTTCAGTAATGGAATTGCTATCTATTATTGGCTCAATGGAATCTTTCTTTTCATGCAACTTTAACAAGGAACCTATTTAATGAAAACTTGCTTTTGTCTCCTGAGGATTTCACAGAAATGTGACATCGCACACAATCCCACAGTGAGAGCATTGTTGGCTCACGTGTGATCCTGTGATCACAAGACATCATTTGTTTATCCAGTTAAAATTTATTAGAAATGTTTACACCTCTGTGGAACACTTGCAGAACAAGTTACCAATCAAGGTTTTACTGTATCCTATATATTCCTATGTAGTCAAGAACTATATTTTCACTTTCTACTACATAAAACTACAAGTTCTTAACAGGTTACAATATAGCATTTTGCTGACAAGATACAATGAACCTAAATATTGTTTCCTAAAACCCAGAAAGGTGAGGGGGTCTTTTTTGTACATAATTAAGAAAATTCTACACTGAACGCTTTACTGACAACATAACTGAACTTTATGGAGCAGAGATGGTTAAATTCCTATCCTTATTTAAATAGAAATAAAACGTCTCTTTGGCTAGGTTTCTTCTCTCTTCCCTACCTCCAAGAAAAAGCAAAACAAGATTTTCATTCTGGGGCAAAAAGGCAAAATAAAACGTGTAATTTCTCCACACATATTCTCTAAAACCTTTGTAAAAGGAAGGAGGTATGTGTTCAGTACTCTGTAACTCCTTTTTGAAAACAAAGACTTGTAAAAGACAACACTTAACACAAAATTTGAATTAACTTTATTTCCCCTACAGTCAACAACTTCTCTGCATTGAATTTTAAAGCAATAAAATAAAACAAAATCCCCCAAATGACAAGGTATCAGAAATTCGGATTTAGTTACACTTTGTGAAAAATGTTTAGCCATTTTATTGGTATGTAAAGAACCATAATCTGGGTCAAAAACGAATTCTATAAATCAAAGAATATTCTACACCTTGAAAAAGAAAATCAGCAGTAACATTCTCACCGAACATCGTAAATTACATTTTTCTTCATAAAACGTACATACTAGTTTGTATGTTTCCACCAAAAGCAGTGGTATGTTATGTTATTAAAAAAAAAAGTTTTATCCATATCCCGCGGCAGGAAAAACTCTCTCACTTTTACTAAACTGGAGAAAATCTTCAAGTCTGTATAAAGTTGCCTAAAAGTTGGAAAGTGAACGTGTTCAATCTCCATTTATATTTTAGTGCATTTTTCAACAATTGTCACATTTTTCATAAAAGAAAATGCATATAAGCACTACAGAGTGTTTCATCAAATGCTTAATTAGAATATGGAGCACAGAACAAAAATCATTGTGATGAATGAAACTGCTATAAAATGAGAAAAATCCAGGCATACAGATCCTTTGTCATTTCAAAGAGAAAATGAACTTTGGACACCTATATACTTTAAGGGGTTTTTCCTTAACTTTTGCATGTAAACATAGCCCCAACCTTAGTACTGAAGTACCAAACCCCATCCTAGTAAGCAACATTCCTTGCAGTTGCCATAATTTACAAAGGATAGAAATTTAGCCCTTAAATGAACGATGTATGAAATGTGCTCTGTAAGTACCTGTGAAAACAACTGCTAATAGCAGTAATCATGAATTAACGTAAAAAACATTTTTGAATCAATTAGCTACTCAGAGGTCCTTATTTGAAACAGCAGCTTCTTACAGCAAACAATGAGACAGAAAATGTACATTTGATGAAACATTCTTTGCATTGGAGAAACACGAAAATATATAAATATACTTCAAGAAAGTGTAATTTCTTTTCTAATACCTTTTCTTCAGACCTGTACTAGTTTACTGGTTCAAGAAGCTCTCATCAGTTTTTATCATTTGTATTTTACATATTGCTATTAGGGTAATTCAAATAAAACGCAGGTCCTGTAAAAGAATAAAAACATTGACAGGTATTCATGTGCAAGGGACCAAATTAGAAGGTTCTTTGGTGCAATTAGTCCAAATTCTCAGATTTGAAGTATAATATGTACCAATAAAAAAAATCTGCTGCTAGACATTTGCAGCAGTGCTCTGTCTTGCTTCACATTACAAATCGAAAAGTTCTTCTCGATAAACCAATTTTATTTTTTAAAATCAGGCATTGCTGGAAAATTGTATACATTAACCTGGACCAGTGATAGTTCTGTACCCTCTGTTGCTGTGAAACATGACATGAGCTAAAGGCAAAGACCGGTTCTCACAAGGACAACTGCTTCAAGTCAGGAACCAGAACATTGTGTTTAAACAGTCTTCTTAGATATTTTCTTGCCTTTCTTAAAAACTAGCTTATTTTTAATGTAGCCACGCTTCCTTTTGGTAGTCTAAAAAGAAAATGGAATACATGGTATTAAGGCAGGTTTCGAACATTAAAGTATCTATACACACATGAAGACTATCTCAAGTGCTTAGCTCTTCCTATGACTGGATTCCTTGAACAGTCAGTGTGTACAATTGTTTTATGCTGAGCATACTGAGAAACACAAGATAAATAGGACTAGGTTTCTATCTTTAAAATGAAAGGATTCCTCAAATGCATTCCTCACCATCAAGTGAATGAATCCCCACCTCCCCTCTGAACCACTAAATGCTTAGGTGTAATGAAGTTCCAGGCGTGATAGAATTTAACACTAGATGAAGTCAGAAAATGGTAATGGTGCTATTAGTTTAGCCTCCAAATAATTTATGTGTCAGAAATACAAGTTAACTTAGTAACTTTCAGAGATCCAGTTTTATAATCAGCAAAATGAGGGTGATTTCATCTACAACACTGAAAGACAAATCACTTGGCACATTTTCTAATAATCTTTTACGAAGGAAAATAAGCATTTAAAAATGAAAAAAATACTCCTTGAGTTTCATAGCTCTTTTAAAAATAAAACTTGAAAAAATTAATAATTGAGCATCCTACTAAAATCTTTTCAACCAAATTTCTAAACTAGGCCTTGTGGTGCAAACCTATGATCCCAGCACTCTGGGAAGTGAAGGCAGGAGAACTGCAAGATTAAGCCCACCTTGGCAACTTAGTGATTTAGCAAGACCTTGTCTCAAAGGGAGGCAGGGGAATAATAGTTCACTGTGAAGGCCCTGGGTTCAATCCTCATTTTAAAAAAATAATAAAATATTTGGGCTGGGGGTTTAGCTCAGAGGCACCGCACCTACCTTGCATGCACAAGGGCCTGAGTTTGATCCCCAGTACCACACAAAGAAAAAATAAATAAATAAATAAAATATTTGTAAATGTGTTGGTAGAAAATAGTGCAAGACAGTTTGCTGTGTTAGAATTCTACAGGTTAAATCACACAGGCACATGCCAATTTGACATACATGCTTAGATAATGACTAAAGCAGCTATTTTTGTGAAGTATAATTTAATGCACCATCAAAGCAGAGTTAATGAGGCTGAAGACTCGAGACCTAACCACTCAATCCAATTTTTACATTTAAACACAACTCTTAGGAGATTTTAGAAGTTGAGGGTAAATAATACATTATTTCTTCTATCCCCAATATTCACTTCAAAATAATTTATTCTAACAGAGACAACACAAAGCAAAAGGCAATCTCTTAATCTACAAAACTTAGCTACAATTAACTTGTTAAGCACATAATATGTTATCAAATCAACTTACTAAGGTGAATGTAAAAAGCTTTGTTTTTTTTTTTGTTTTATTTATTTATTTATTTATTTTGTATATGTGCTGCTGAAATGAGCACGGGATAGCATACTTTTAAAAACAAATGAGGTTAAGAATTTGGTTCCTCTGTTATCATAATCTAGATGTCTAACATGAAGCTTGTTCTATGAGATCTTATAATGTACCCCACTATTATGCATATATACAACCCAGCCCTCAGGATGTTTTTCCCCTACTACTGACAGTGAGCCATGCCACAGTTTTTGCAGCTCTGGACTACAATTTCTAGACCCCTGAAACCCTCCACCTACCCCAAAGTCGAAACCAGATCAGGGAGAGAAAAGTAAACAGAAATCATCCTCTCCAACAATGAGGGAGAACCTATGACATTCCTGTGACAAGGGTCACAAAGAGCCCTCTACATCAGGGTGCAAGCCAAGTTGCCCCAGCAGCCTAGTATCAAATAACAGTTTTTTTTTTTTTTTTTCCTAAACTAAAACTTCAATATTCACATTTAATTGCAGTGTTGGCATTTTACAATTAATAAGTGGTTTTGGGTTGCAGTTTTGGCACTCAATCTCTAAAAGGTTCGCCATCATTGCTCTACAGTGTTAGAATAAAAACAATATAAAGCCATGGAACACAAATTCAAAATCCATGTTTCTGACTACTAGAATATGTGTCGCTGAGTACACAAGAGATTTTTATTTATCCATTAACACTTCCTTACTTTGGGGGGAATGATGGACAGAAGACTAAAGAGGCCAGTAAGAAAATGTACTTGGAATTTCTTTGGAATTTCTGTCATCAGATATCAAGTTCAACAGCCCTCTTTAAAAAAACATTAACTAGGGTTGGACAACTTTTAGACTAGCAGCATTTGCTTTGACTTCTATATTGTATGACTCATCAGTTTCTCCTAATACCTATAAGAAGCCAAATCATTTGACTTATCATCTGAGCTAAAGACTGGAAAGTGAATTTAATATGACTAATCTGAGTGTCAGCACTATGTGACAACTTTAAATATATTAGTTGAAATATGGTAATTTATATCTGGCAAAGAAAGCAGTCACATAAAAAATTTATATTTAAATATACAGCCAATATTCAGGATTTTTATAGTATACACTGAAATATTCTATATTCTGAATATATTTGGTGTATATTTTAAGTAACAAAGGGATAAGACAGTTTTCTTAATGGTTTAAAACACCTTATCTGAGGTATGGAATCTAAGTGCCTTTTTAAAAATTAAGACTGATAATCAGTTTAATAATAAACAGTATTACAAGAATAGTACCTTATAATACCACCTTAATATTTTACTTGACAGCTCACTATTTCCCATTTTCCATAGCTGGGCAACCTTCACAAATACTTATTTGTAGTACTCTTTTACAGCAAAGATCAGAGATCTATTTGTTTTAAATAATCAATAATGGGCCCAATAAAATACTTCATTTCATTAAATATTTATTAGAAGCGACTGCCACAGTCTCAATTTCTGCTTATAATCTTTGCATAATAATTACCTTGAAAATAATTATCTTAAGACAGATGCTTCAGGACTCACCAAAGTAAAGCCTTATTCAATGAATGATATAGTAACATCATACTACAAATGGAACATGGAGATTCAATATATATTTGCTTTGACCAAAATATGAGGAACTAATCACAATTCCATGAAGCACTTGGCATTTTTACTTTTACATAAGTTTGGAAAATGATGGTCAGATACATTTACAAATAAATCTTACTAATGTGAGTGGCACAAACTGAAGCCAGAATGCCTTTAGAAATATCTTAACTTGGCATTCAGATAACCACCATGCTATCTTAAAAAAAGCTACTGTTAGAGATAGCCAAAGTGCTCAGTTTGAAAATAATTCTCCTAGGTTAGCCGGACATTTACTTTATATATTTGTCAGTCTTGTCTGGAAAAAGAGCATTCATTAGCAATTTCAATAATTCTTTCTCATACAAGCCAACCACCCTGAATTACCCTCTTGTAGAAATGACTTCACTTGGCACTCACCTTTTTTGACAAATACTTCTGTTTTGGGAAAATGTTGGTGACTCGTGGTTTGTGATCTAACGTCTCTCTGTTATCAGGTGCTTTCACTTTATATATCCTAACAAGCCAATGTTCCGATGTAAAGGCTTCCTCCAAATGCTTGAATTTAATGTCCTTATTTCCAATTTCAGCATTACGTGTTCGGTCAAATCCGGGGGGAGTACGAAAATCCAGCTGCAAAAATAACATCAATATTAGATGTTAATCATACTGGAAAACATTATATGTCAGAAAGCAGTAAATGTTTCATTAGAGTCAAACTCCCTCCTTTTAAAATTAAGAACAGAACTGAGTCATGTATTCTATCAGTTCTCACATACAGCTAACTACACAGGAAGAAATTAGAAAAAGAAAATAAATGCATTGATTCAATTCCCAGTACCAATAAACAAACAAACAAACAAACAAACAAATGCATCTGAGTAACAATTTCACAGGACTCTTAAGTGTGGTCAGGCAGCCTATAGGCATTAAAAACCCATTATATTAAGATGAAATCCATCAAAACTTTTTACAGGTATATAGAGATAACACAGGGAAGGTGGGTTTTTTTTCTGCTTTACAACTACATTTTCTTTGCCTGATACAGCAGGGATTCAGTTCTTTTGCACTGTGGCTTTTTATTCTTAGGGTTCAGCTAAATATCACCTCTTAGGAGAAATATTTTTTAGACTGGTAGTTGATAAGTTTTTATTTTTCCTTAACAGAACCCTGTTCTTTTCCTCTATACAGCACATATCACTAGCATTTTTATTCATTTTAAAAATTATCTGTATCTTCCGCTAGCACAATGACTATCTTATCCACAGTGCACCTGTAGCAATGTTACTACATCCTGAAAGTGGGAACTACAAAGGAGGACAAGCAAGCCAAACTGTGGAGGATTTATGAAGAATTTGAGGAACTGTGGAGAGGAGACTGAGACATTTTTTTCCCCTCAGAGTACAGTATATTTATGTAAAAACACAAAACTAACACAGGTGAAGGCAACTTATAAAAACAAATCAATTCCCAATGGTGAATAATTTGTTCTTGCTTATCTACTTTAAACTATATATCATTCTTGAGTACCGCAGGCATCAAAACCATGAATAAACTTAAGGAAAGGGGTGTTCTTCAATATAATCATTAGTGAACAGAGAAAACTAATCATCTTCCACAGAAAAAGTATTAAGTAGCTATTATGGCTAGGTACTTCTTTCTTGGCATGAATTTAGAGACTAGACAATGGCCTTTGAAAGAAACAAAAACTTTAATCTAGATTATCAGTCTCGAGAGTTTTCTGTCTTTAAAGCCACCTGCTGTGGTTCCAAGTGGATAAAGATGAAGCAAATAACTGTAAATCTATTTTGAAACAACGCAATCAGCGGGCAAACAGTGTGCAGGAACTTTTCTGAAAACAGTGGTCTAGCCTATTTCACCCATGCTTGTATCTTACAAAAAGATAAAATTTGTTTCATAAATTGAGGCCCAAACAAATCTCAGCCTGGAGACTTACTCTGATCCCCAGTGACAGTGTAAGATTAAACAAAATTTTCCTCTGCTTTTTAGGGTATCTACTTCACCAGAAATCAATATGGAATTTTCACTGAGATCTCAGTATGAAGGTACTAACTTTGTAGTATATCTTAGAATCTAAGAACTATAAAATTTTAAAAATAGAAAAACTTGAATTCTCTTATGAATTCTTAGTTGGGATGAAATGCCGTACCAAAGGATATCTTAACAAGAGAAAAGTTTATTAACACAAATAGCACACATTAATACAGGAAAAATATCAGTGAACAGTAACTCAAAGCAATGCCTTAGAGCACTGGCTTATTATATACCATGTTCAACAAATAACAGTAAGTTTGAGAAGAAATGGCAAGTGGCTTTAGGTTTCTAAGGTGGGAAAGTATGAGAAGGTAAAAATACAGGAGAAAATAATACAGTAATAAGGTTTGTTTGCAGATTCCCCTGGTGCCTTCTTTGGGCTGACAATCTAGAGTTTTCTGTAGTAAAAGAGGATGTAATTTGTGCCTTTACGAAGAGAAGGGATTGGATAAGGAAAGAATATCCTTAATTTGCTGTTTAATTGCTTTTAGCTCAAAAATTATTTTTGTCACAGAAGCATATTCTAGGGTGACATTCTGGTTTCCCTCAAAATCTAGTCATCCGTCGAACTGCCATTATTTACAAAAAAGAAAGAAGCCAAGAGTCTAGGGAGGAAACAACTAGTTTGCGGGTTACAAGACATGACAGCTTGATCTAAAACACAGATATTATGACATAATGTCCACTGCTCCTTTTTTTTTTTTTTTAAATCACAATGTCAACTTGTATATTCACTAATTTTGTAGTCCTTAAGAGTTTGTTCCACATCATTCTAATGAATTAGGAAACTATGACTTATTTCTGGCCATCTATGATAATGGAGAAGTAAAATAAAGTGAACATATATAATTTATCTGAGGTTTTCCCCCACCAGACAGCAAAGTGACCTACCTAAGATCACAGTTTCCTAGCTGGGAGACCTCTCTTCCTGGAGAAAAATGCCTTCCAAAAGCTTAAAGTCAAAAGGTAGGATGACGGCAAGCAAAGGCTGAATGTGAGACAGTATTAAAAAATATTTTGGAAAGAAGTCCTTGATCTAAAAAACTTTTTCTAATTTTTCAGAGAAATTTCAGAAATCTAAATTAATGGAAAAAAAGATCTTTAGATAAGCAAAATTTTCTTTATATAAAGCACAATAAAAACATTTTCTAGAGGCAAAAGATTTTTTGAGAAAGATTATAGAAAAGCTGATTTTTAACTAACCTGCATTTCTCCAAATCTGTAATAGGACATTTTATACATAAGGCAATTCAACAAAGTAGGGGATCCTGCTTTGTCTACGCGAAATTCTCCCTGTGGGGTGAAATAGTCACTTTCCTATAAGAAAGAAATCAGAAGTTTCTATGTCAGCTTCAACTTAACAAATCCAAAGTTACAGGTTTTCTTTTATTTCCCCTTAAGAACCAGATTTTGAGGTATCTTCATAAAGCTATATTCATTTAAATCCCTCACCCCCAAAATTAATTCCATCAGTTTTAAATAAGGTCTTAGTAATGTAAAAAGAATGGTATCAATACCATTGTTCAATACCAGTTAGGACCAGTTCTTATCTTCATCACCACTCCAGCTTTCTCCTAAATTTTTCAGTATTAATTCTAAAATCAGTTCCTTTCATTGTATAGGATTGTTTAGAAAACTTATTAATGGTATGTAGTACTATTTTCCATTGGTTAATTTACAAAGTAACTTATACAAGCAAAAATTTTGTATTCAGAAACTTCTTGTTTAGGAACTTTAATGAATATAGAAACCTGCACCACTCTTCGAAACTAAAGAATTGGAAATCACATAAATCAATAAAAATAGGTAAATAAATAAAATATACAAATATTAAGCAAAGGATGAAGAAGGGCTCCCGAGTCTGACATGGGAAGACTCCTGAGACAAATTATGAAGTAAACAGAGTGTATACCTTACTCCTAGTTACCTGCTTGACTAAGAATCACAAAAAATAACAGTGATTACTAGGAACTTTCAATCTTTTTTAAGTCGACAAAATTGTATAAATTTTGGTGTACAAATGATGTAAAATATGTAGATGTTGCTGAATAGCTAAACTGACCTATTATTATTATGGTGAGAATATTGAAAAATCTACTCTCAGCAATTTATAAGTATATAAAATATTGTCATTAACTTTTTTATGGAGGGTAAACTTTAACTTTTAAACTGTTTTTGAACCACGTAAATTTATCATCTAGTCACTTAAAAATGAAGCTTAAACATGAAGAATTTTAAAAGCACAGATTTAGGCTTTCTATATATATTAGGGTTCAAAGCATGTATTTGGAAAGTCTATCCCATGTCACAATTTTAACACTACTAAAGCAAATCCTCAAATGGAAATCACATATTGGGAGATTTATGTTTTAGTAGATCCAGTTAATATAAGAAACTAATGCTCATTCATCACGGTAAGGGAAATATTACAGCATTTATATCTGACCAAGAAATCTGCTGCTTTAGCCTCGTCACATGACATACGTGCATATATAATCTCCTCAAATGATTCTTTTGTTTCGCTTGCAAATCTTTTCAACTTTTATGCCTTTCTCATGTACAGCACAATTCTGGATACCCATCTTCCAGGAACTCACAATTGAGAGGGAGAGACAAGATACAATCAATCTAGCTACCAAACAGGTATGTGAGAGTTATGATAAGTATGGACATGATGCACCAAAAAAGGGCTTCAGGAGAGATGACAAGTATGTGGAAGGTATTTCAAGAAAGGGAACAGTAAAAGCATATGTCAGATAAAGAAAAGAAACCATAGGTAAGTTTCTGGGGACAGAATAGATTGGCAGAATCTAAACCAGCAAAGGAAAATGAGATGCCCAGTTTTGGATTGGGTTGTTAAATTTGGGAGGTCTGATTTTTTAAAATTCTTTATATATTTTAGATAGACCTTTGTCTGAGGGATAGCTGGTGGTTTCTCTTGCTGTACAGAAGCTATTTATTTATTTATTTGGGTACAAACTCGGGTCCTTGTGCTTGCCAGGCAGGCGGTGGAACCACTGAGGTAAATCCCCGGCCCCCAGAAGCTTTTTAGTAAGATGAGATTGTTGATTCATGTGAGACAAAGATTTTGTTCAGGAAATCTTATCCTACAACAATGTCTTCAAAAGTTCTACCTAACTTCTCTTCCAGACGATTGTTTCTGATTTGATATTTAATCTTTGATCCATTTCAATTTTAGTTTATTGCATTGTGAGAGATACAGGTCTAGTTTTAATCTTTTGCAAGATGAAACCCAGTTTTTCCACCACCATTTATTAAAGAGGTGATCTTTCCTCCACTGAGGGTCTTTGGCTCCTTTGCTGGCAGGGCTGTGGGGAAAAAGGCAACCTTCCCCACTCCATTGTTGGTGGGAATGTAGACTGATGTAACCATTGTGGAAATCGGTATGGAGATACCTCAACAAACTAGGATTAAAAGTCCCATCTGACCCAGCTACTCCCCTGCTGGGTATTTTCCCAAAAGAATTGAGAAAATCATACTATAGCACCATGTTTATAGTGGCACAGTTTGTAACAGCTAAAACTTGGAAACAGCCCAACTGTCCATCAACTGGATACTGGACCAAAGATGTGGCTCTTTTATAAATGGAGTACTACTCAGCCATAAAGAATGAGAGACTAGAGACATTGATAGCTAAATGGATGCACACTGAGGCCACACTCTTTAAGTGAAATAAATATGACACACGTGTGAATACCAAATAGTTTCTCTGGTGTGAGAAACTGAAAGTATAAATAAGGATCAAAATGCATAATAGGAAGAAAAAGTCCAAAAGGGAAGGGGAAATGGGAGGTGTAGGGCAAAGGAATAAATATGAAAAGGAAAAAAATCGAAACAAAGTCTTTGTAAATAGGGAAGGATAGAGAGGTGGAAGAGAGAGCAGGAGAATGGGGAAAATAGTAAGAGCCAAGATATATCATGTAAAGGTACAAATTCCCACTAAGGAATGTCATCATATTGTATACCTACAATGCACCAATTAACTTAAAGAAAAGAGAAAAAGAAGCTTATATTCTAGGGTAAGGAGTTTGGACTTTGTACCAATGCTTCACCAACAAATTGCCTACTTTGTGCTGGCCCCTCAGACAAGGCTATGCCTATTAAAATTACTACAAATTTTCAAAGCAGCACTAAAAATGAATTATTGTTGACATGTCCATAATGATGACCCAGTCTTACCTTGGCTACCAATATAATTCTACATATAAGAACAAGACCTAGTGCTTAAAAGGATTTATGTTGACTGACCTCAGTTAACCTGCCCATAGCACAAAATTGATGGACTTTTAGCTCTGATTCATATCTGTCTGGTTTCAGGCCCTCTTCCCATAATCTTTTTAAATCCAGAAAACAACATGTTCAATTTAAAACTACACTGGGAGAACAAACAAGACAACAATTCAAGGTTATTGTCTTTTTTTCACGGTTATGGTTCAGTTCAGGGTTAGAAGCCATGGAATGGAAAGAAAAGGTTGAAGAGGCTGTACAGACATAGAATCAAGAAGTCACGGCAAAAGACTGCATCACAGGGTAGAATGGAAGCACAAGCATGAGTACCTGCCAAAAAGTTTTTCATGGGAACATTATAGAATGCACTTACACAAATCTAAATGAAATATCCTATTATTTAGACTACACAGCATATTAGTATCATATAGTGATCTGATCTAAAAGTATTTATGTAGCAAATGACCATATCATGCATGAGTTTCTTAAGTTTCAAACCTAGGAAATGCTTCTAGTAGCTTTAATAAATAGTAAAGTCCAAGTAAAGGACTAATCCGGAAGATAGAACGATGAAAACAAATACAACAGAATTTGCAAGATAAGAGAATTATTTGAATACTGTGAACTGTCTTTTATACACCTAAGATTATCTAGTTTCTTACCCGAATGTCTTTTGGATGTTCCCCTTCAGCTATCCTAACCATCCAGAGAAATTTGTTGATATCATCACCAGAATAGCCAATAACTCCTCCAAAAATAACTAAAACATAGTCTACATCTAGAGTCCTCATGATTTTATAGGCCGCTGTTTCATTAGAAGACATGGCTTTTCCCACCTACAGTATAAAAGGGAATGTTCAATTTTACTGCAAGATGGAATTCATCTCAATGAAAGATTCACTGACAAAGAATATTTTTATAGAAGTGATTTTCTATGAATTCAAAACATTTTAAATTTATAAATATCTCAAATACTATAAGCAACTTACAGTAGAAATGTCAAAATTGTAATACATGTTATACTATTTTGTTAATACTTAAGTTCCATGAAATTAACATTTAAAAATGAAAGTAAGGAAACTTTAAGAGACAATTTCTTACAAACCACAGGGCTGGCCAGTGATTTTATACTTCTGGCCAAGCATATACATCTGATGATTAGCTATGCTACAAATACAAACAGAATTAATTTAGTTAAATTCAAAAATCTTTTAACTAAGGAGAAGTGATTATCTTAATTTATGTAAATTAAGTCTTTTAGTAGACTAAATGAGTGTGATTTACAGAGCCATAAAATACAGTGCAGTTGCTAAATATTTGCAAATAATTTTTCTTATAATGAAAATGCCATTTAAAAAGCTTTAGACTGCCTAAATCTCCAGTAAGTGAAACATATAACAAAATCTACCAGTATAATCAGTGTACATTTGAGTGATATTTATACAAACATCATTCTTAAAAACAAAGTAAGCATGTCTGAAGTCACTTTATTGAATACATTTGCAAAGTAGTATTTTGAGAATTCACATTTTCCTATTTAATCATATGTGAAGTCTAATTGTTAAGTAGTAAAGATTTATTTTTGATTTAAAAAAACAAAACAAAACAAAACACAAATCCTTACCAGGGCTATGTGGCTATTATTCCAGGTGTTATTATCCACCAATGTAGTTCTATTAGCCATTCCAGCTATCTGATAGCCATAATCCCACCATGACATCACTCGGGCATGTTCATCTGTATTTTGCCTTAGCCAAAAGTAGGCTTCTCTAAAATCATCTAAGATGTTCCTGGTGCTGAAAAGAATCATAGTATTCTTCTAAATGAAATCTTGTAAATATGAAGAGGGTAACTTAAAATCTCGAGGTACTGAACCCAAAGAAAACACAAAAAGGAGAAGAGCTAGACAAGTGCTTCTCAAACTAATATGTAGACAAGTCACCTACATATCTTGTATAAAAGCAGACGCTGATCCAGCAGTGTTCTGGAGTAGGACCTAATTAATAAATAGTCTGCCCATCTACTAAGCTCCTATGTGAAGAGAAGGGGGAGAACAAGATGATATATAAACAAGCTATTAAATTTTAGCTCCAAAGAATCACACAGGTCTGTTAAAATACAGACCGCTGAGTCCCGCACCCAGGTTTCTGGTTCAATAGGCTTAGGATGTGGTCAATTATTTGTATTTCCAAAACATTTCATAAAGGTGTCGATGATGTATGTTCAATAAGCATGCTTTGATAAAAGTGTATATGATTATTTATGTAAAATATTATGGAAAGCAGCATGAAATACAATGCTTACTATTCATCCCACCAAAGGTGGGAGAGGGGCCACATGTATCAATACAGATTTATGGATTGGGGGCGGTGATAGTTCGGTGGTTGAGCATTTGCCTATCATGTCCCCCCAACAGAGGAGAGGAAAAGAGGGGATGGTGGGAGCGAATATAAAATGTGTAGCTATGCTGTGTCCTCACCCGTCATGGTTGTAGGAGGCCAGGACCACACTGGGGCTGGAGTAGGCATTGCTAGTGACCCACGTACAGTGCACAGCAAACATCATCAACAACATGAGCATGAGCATGGTGACAATGCTCTTGATGTTGGGGCCCAGCCCCTCCTCTGGCTTTTCTTGCTCTGCCACATGCTTCCGTACCTTGCCAGCCTGCAGGGACAAAGACTGCTGAGACATGCTCACCATGACACTCACCAGAAAGAGTGGGGAGGACATTAAATATACATTCAGTTCTGACTCAAAATATATGCTACTATCAGGTACTGAGGGAAATGAAAAATTTCTAGAATTAAAAAACAGACTCTACAGTCAAATGGGAATCAGAAAGTTTCCTCAGAATATATCCAATCCAGAAACTGCTCTGAGAGCAAATCTCCAGGAAGAAGCTACTTTTAAACCCAGTTTTCCTTGTATCTTAAATAACATCCTTGTATCTTAAATAACAAAGAAGATAATGCAATGACCTCATTTATCACAGTATAAAATCTAATACGTAAATCCTTATTAAGTCTCAATTCTACATCCTGAAATTGGCAATGTCCAGCTGTAACAGACTATGTAAGACTTTAGTATGGGGAAAAAAACTGGAGTTACACAACAGAGAGACTTATTAAACTAAGATTATTTTAAAAATACAAAAAACACATTAATATACTTACAATACATACATACAATAAAATCCCTCCAAAACCCAGAAGAGAATAGTTACAAACCTACAATGTCGATCAAAAAAAAAAAAAAAATCACAATACAAAAACAAAATATAAAAACTACAAACACAAAAGTGGATATGTGTTTTATTAACAAAAATCTTTATGAACTGTATTGATCACACAGTAAGGAAAGAATATCAGTTAATTTCCCTACACTGTGAGATTTCACTGCTTATTATTTAAAAACCTAGTCAATATTAAAATAGCAAAGTTAACTCTTAGAAGTCTTTCTCACACTTGCACTAAATTATGATCCTGCTCTTTTACTTGAGAGTCTATAGGTTAAAAATGAATTGTGCTACACTGGCCTGTTGTGAGCTACTTATTCACAAACTGGAAGCTATTAAAAAAAAAATCAAGTATCATTTTCAAACATTATTCAGATTATCACTTAAAGAGTTTACAGTGATCCAGGCATAGTGGCACATACCTACCTGTAAGTCCAGCTTCTTGGGAGGCAAGAGGACTGCAAATTTGAGGCCAGCAATTAGTGAGATCCTACCTCAAAAATAAAAAAGCACTGGGGATGTAGCTTAGTGGTAAAATACTTGCCTAGCATGCTCAGAGTTCTTGTTTCAATCCTCAGTACAGGGAGGGGGAAAAAAATTTTATAATGAATTTGGATCTTAAGGACAAGCACTTGTCCACATGGTTTAAAATCTTTTGTAATTTACCAAATTTTTGTTTGCAAAAATGAAGAATAGAAACAAGCCTTAAGTATTTAGGTTAACAAGTATTGGCAAGTGAGAACAAGTGAGAATTCTTTTGTCTTTTATTTCTTACTCTAAGCTAAAAGACCCCTAAACATCACAGCTTGTTTCAATCACATTTCTTAATATGCACAGTTCTTACTGTGGTGGAAAAAAAAAAAAAGTTTTTAAAACATGTAATATTATTAAAGACCTTAATTTAGATTTCCCACCTTATCATACAAATTTCCGGGATTTCTTTTATCATCCTCATCACTGCTATCCTCCACAGGTGGATTTTCCCTTTTCATGTCATCTCCCAAATAGTGCTCAAAAACATTTGAGAAGGCAATTGCAGACAGCATACAGACGACTGGAGTCAAAGTCAACATCAGCCGCACCATCACTCCAGCAAAGTAGACAGCACTGATTGCATACAGAGCAACTGCAAAGACAAGTTTTCTTATAATACTCTAGGGAAAACTGAAGGAAACTGAACTAGACATTTAATAGCACAGTATAAAACAAATCTAAAAATAGACAAATGTCTCACAAAAGATCTGTCTTTTCTAAATTATTAATACTGACAAACTGATTAATAGTTGTATTTAGAAATTATAAATACTGCTGACTAAATAAAAATTACACACCAATAATTAGGGAAATATGACTCACATTTAATTTTAGTTATGGGGAATTAGACTTAGTTATTAGTCAATGGCATTATATGTTATAAAATCCATAGATGACACATGAAAATATATGCAATCATTAAGTCAGTGCCAATATTTAGTATAAAGCCTACTTAAAGAAAAAACAGGATGAGAGTAACATTGTTATTATTCAATGGAATAACCTGTAAAGTCACTGTCAAAAATCTTATTCAAAAATTTGAAACAAATTTCCATTAATCATAGCCTTCTAAATAATGTACTAATAACTACAGAAAAAGGCTCTAACATTTCTGATTGAAGGCTATAAACTTTACAAAGCCATTAAGTCATTAGAATTTTTCTATCACCTGAACCTTAAAATTTTTTCCTGACTAAAATATAATTATACCATCCTGTTAAGTATACAGTTCAATTAATTATATATATACATGGCCCCTATGTAATTACCACCCATGATCAAGACATGTACTTCTGTCCCTTCTCATGCTTCTTGTCAGTAAATAACTGCCCCTTCCCCTATAAAAAAGGTTATCACTATTTGGACTTATAAAGCACTACTTTAGTTTTCCTTATTTTTGAATGTTATAGAAATAAAGTCCTGTAAACCCTTGGCTTTTAAATATTTGTATTTTTCTTCTTGCTAGTTGGGAGCACACACAAATGTATTAATGGACAGGGTGTTTTTTCAGAGGTAATCCTTATTTCATTATAAAATATACTTTGCTCTGAAACTGGGACATAAGATTCCCTTGAAAATCTTTTCCTAATTACATCTTAATTTGGAAAATGAAGTCAAAATTATGTTAACAAACACAGTTTTCAAATCTCAACCATAGACTATACTGATTACATTAACCTCTCAGAAACCTCTCATGAGTGTAAAATTTATATACTAGCTTCAAATTAAAAGTTACTAGAATATAAAGAAAATTCAATTATTTTCCTTGACTAAATACCTAATAATGGAGGGGTGCTTATCTTGAATATTTACAGTCAAGAAAAAAATTAAAGTTATAATCTCAGAACGAGAAACAAATGTTCACAATCAAAGTATTCATTAAAAAGTCCCTCTTACCAAATACTCTTTCATCGTTGATATTTTTGATGCAGAACCATAGGCCTGCTGGGAAGGTACATACAAGAATATGTAGATCAAAGAAGAAAGACACCCAAGTCGTAGGTTGATGCTCAGACACTGATGCAATAATTGGAATGTGTATTTTTGCATACCTGATATTAAAAAAGTTTAATATTATTTACAATTGAATGATAACAGGAGTTCCTTTTAGAGGAAGAAATGTTCTTTGATTGTAGATATGATTCCTACTCCCACCTCTTCTTGTTTAAACATATATCCTAATTTAACCAGATATAATGGAAATGAATGTTTGGTCCACTTTGGTAAAACTAAAACTAATAATAATGCCATCTGTAAAATTAAGACACTTATCAAGGACTAGTCATAAAATTGTTGGCTCTGCTTTCTGTAACAAAAATCTTTGTTCAAATAGGAATTTGTTCTGTCGTTAATCTTCACCTCCCAATTTGCATCAATGAGTTTCACTATCTTTTAGACTTTACTGGCAGCTGAAAACACCTCACCCTATAAGACATAATAGTGCCACAATGCCCTGCTGACATGACAAGAAGCTGACATGGAGGCAAGTGAGGGAAATGGAAATTCCTGAAACACCCTGAGATTCCAAAGTAGTCAAAGTTCAGAAAGTTGAGAAAGCAAGAATAAGTATAGCTAACAAGTTAACCTAATATGTAGCCTAATCAGAATAACTCTAACTCAGATCCTCTAGTGAGCCACAGGCTGAACTCTTAATGTATGTTTGCTTCAGTCATTCCTACATAATTTACTTATAATTAGACCTGGACATGAGCCCTTTTGGTATCACACCAGAAGAGATGCTCATTCAATAATTGTGGGTTTTTACTGAGTCACCTAGAAAGGAACGGATAGAACAGAGCAGGAAATGGATGGGAATAACATGTATTTTCTTATGTCTAGGAAAGCAAAGTTTTACTGAACTAGTTGTCTAATCCAAAATTAAAACTTTTCATTCACTTTAAATAGAAACTCTCTAAAAAATGCACCAGATATTTTAATGATAAGAAACAAAAAGCTTATATGGCAGTAGAAAAAAGTTAAAATTTCTTATCATCTATGGGCATGTGGATTTATAACATAACACCTGTCCTTAAACATTAAAACTTAAATAGTAAAAGTGAATCTTTTATGTAATTAGTAAAACAAGCAAAAAACAAACAAAAACCCCTTAATCTTTACTCTTTAAATTGCACAAAAGTTATTAAAATGTTTTAAACATACAAAATTAAGAAGTTGGCTATGCAAAACAAATACAAAACTCATATTTCATTCTAAAGGTTCATTCAAAACAGATACTAACAAAGGTAAAATACAAGAGATTCAGTATCTAATGAACTAGGATATTCTACATACTTAATGATGCTCAAGTGCTGACTGAAACACTGACATCATAACAGAAGAAACAAAGGGGTATTTTATGAGGCTAAAATAACACATCTGCACTTACCCAGTGTCCCATAATGAATAAAATCTGCCACTCCATGGTGCAATGTAACCTTGGAAGGAAAAACGCAGAAGAAATTATCTGCCTTTTAAATTATTTTATAAATTTTAAATTATTTTATTGTTAAGTATGGGCTAATTTAAACTAATGTTCAAAGTGTTATAATTTTATAGATGCCAAAATATTTCATAGTTGGCAATCAGATAAAATAAGGTAGTGGTCAGATAAAAACATTAATTCATGGAGAACTTGTTTCCAGAAAAAATAACACAAGTAGCCAGCCAGATAAAATTATAGGAAGTTTCCCAATTACTTTTTAAGCATCTTGGTAACTAGTAAAAGAAGGTCAAGACATTAAACACTAAAAAAATATTTTTAAATACAGCATTCCAAATCCCATCTGAAAAGTTACATAGGTGATTTTGAATACTTATGATTTTTACTCCTAGCAGTTCTTCATGAGTTTATGAGACAAGGATGATACATTAATTTGACAGAAACCTTTGGAAAGAATATGATTTGTTGGTAAGGGTTGAAGTCAGGTTTAGAGAATATTTTAGAATCCAGAAGAAAATTGAAATTCATTTTGATTGTTTAAAAACTAAGATGGAAAGAATGTGGATGAACACACAGTAGATTTATCACTAGACACTCTATATTTTTAAAGAGTTTGGACCTATTCTGCCAGCGAAAGAATGCTTGTGAAATTATCAGAACCTGAAGCAACAAAATGAAGTTACTTTTAAAAAAAAGTCATAGGGCCGGGGATTTAGCTCAGTGATTCCACTGCCTGCCTCACAAGCTTAAGGTCCTGAGTTTAATCCCCCTACCAAAAACAAAAAAGTCACAATTTGTATTAATGCTACTCAGATGTTAAAAAGCTTTATTATTTTAGTACTATTACTATATAATTCAACCACAGTATTTGCCCTCTTAGGATAAATGAAACTTGTAAAAATATGTGAAAGAATTGCCTCTTTGAATAATTTAGAGATAAGATGCATATTTACACGTGATGGCACCTACCTGTATAAGTCAAATAGATGACACTAAGGAACACAGCACCTGCAGCTAGTGACACACCCAAAAAGAAGAGAGTCTGGAATTCTTGTTTTGTTAATCGGTCTCTCAGATACTGCAAAAAAGCATAAGCTTGCAGCAATGCAAAAACACCTAATTTTAAAAAAAAGGTCATATTAATGATCAACAAAGCACTTTACCATATCATTTGAATTTTAAAAATTTCACAAGTTTCTTGGAATACCCAGTGTCATTCACATCAGACTAGTCATTTCATCTAACTTTCCTTCTGTCAAATGACAAGTCAACCAACCAGTTAATATACCCAAAGAAATCTTATTATAAATTTTTTGCTAAAATATTCAGACTCCCCATAGATATACTAGGCAAGAAAATTTGAATTTGAATTAATGAAGCCTATTTTAAAAATTACATTCTTGTGTCTTCCAGTCTGTTCCACTGATCCTCAGATCTGTTTCTTTGCCAGTACCATGCTGTTTTTACAGTGGCTTTGTAGTATAGTTTCAAGTTGGGAATTGTTATACCTGCTACCATGTCTGTGTTGCGTAGGATGGCTTTTGCTATTCTAGGTCTCTTATGGTTCCAAATGAATTTTTGGATTCTTTTTTTCTAGATCTGTGAAAAATAGTGTTGGAATTTCAATTGGCATTGCACTATGGCCATTTTCACTATGTTGATTCTTCCTACCCAGGAGCACGGGATATTTTTCCATTTTCTTATATCCTCTTCGATCTTTTTTCTGTAGCTTTCAATGTAGATTGATTCATAGATACTTCATTTTTTTGGATGCTCTTGTGAAAGGAATTGTTTCCCTAATTTCTCTCTCAGGGAGTCTGTTTTTTTTTGTTTTTTTGTTTTTTTTTTGGTGGTACCGGGGATCAAACTCGGGTCCCTGCACTTGTGAGGCAGGCCACGAAACCACTGAGCTAAATTCCCAGCCCAAGTCTGTTATTTTTGTACAAGAAGACTATTGATTTTTGGGTGTTGACCTTGTATCCAGCTAATCTGCTAAAAGTGTCAATTAAGTCTAGAAGTCTTTTGGTGGAGCTTTTGGGTCTTCAATGTAGAGTATCATATCAGCAGCAAATAATGACTGTTTAACTTCTTCCTTTCCTATTTTTATTGCTTTAATTTCTTTCTCTTGTCTAATTGCTGTGGCTAATGTTTCCAGAACTATATCAAAGAGGAGTGGTGATAGTGGGCATCCTTGTCTTGTTCCTGATTTTAACATGGAAGTTTTCAGTTTTTGGCAATTTAATTTGTTGGCTGTTGGCTTTTCATAGATAGCCTTTATTAAGGTGACCTCTGCTGGGTATCTTTCCAAAAGAATTAAAAGAATCTTATCACAGTGATATATGCACATCTATGTTTATAGCGGCACAGTTTGTAATAGCTAAAACTTGGAAATAGCCCATTTGCCCATCATTTAGAAGCTGGATAAAGAAGAAGTGGTTTTTCTATAAAATGGAGTATTACTCAGCCATAAAGAACAAGAAATTAGATTCATTCATAGGAAAATGGATACATATTGAGGATATACTCCTAAGTGAAATAAATAAGCCACACATGTGTAAATACTGAATAGTTTCTCTGGTGTGAATAAACTATAATAGTACATAAGGTCCTAATGATATAATGGACAATGTGAAATAGGAAGAAAGGGGCTAAAAGTGTAGGGAAAGTGGGAAGGGTAGGGGAAAGCTAATAAGGGAAAAGGAAAAAATATGAGAAAATGAAAAATGGAAATGAAGTATTTGTAAAGGGGGAGGGGAGGAGGGGTGAAGGGAGGGCAGGGTAAGGGGAAAAAATGAGAACCAAGACCTGTCATGTAAAGGTACAAGATCCCAATAATTAAACTGTACTGTATACCTAAAATGTACCAATAAATTCAATGAGGAAAAAAAAATTACATTCTTTTCCTCTGTATTTTAGGAACATGTTTTCTAGGTGGAAAAAGTAATCAAAAAGCACCATTACAAAATCTTACGATTTCTTTGCCAAAGGGAACAAATGACTTCAATCAGGAGAATCTATTTACTAATCAGTTACTATTTACAACTGATAAGATGAATATGACTTTAATTACACATTTAAATAAGATTACAATTATTTAATGTCGGGGTTTAAGACAAGCCATCCCAAAAGACTAAATCTTGTTGAGAAAACAGTACAAACAGGAAGATCTATCTGACTTTCTCTCTGTTCTATCCTAAAGTAAGTAACAAAAAGAATTCTCTCAACTTTCTACCAAGCAGGTCCTAAGATCCTCATTCCAAAGGAGTCTTCCTTATACCCAGAGGCAAAAAGGAAGACACAAGATTTGCCAAAACAAATTGGAACAAACAGAACTTGCTAAATTATCCAACTTATTACCATTAAACATAATTTCCCTTTTGTCTAATCATACTTCTGTAAGACTGTTCACTCTTCATCAAACATAAGCTTAAAAATATTTTGTTTCTTTATTTTCATTTGGGAAGGCTCAGTCTTATAAAATTTATACATTGTTCTTTTTAATTGGTCTCTCAGCTCCCAGCCATGAACCTGAAATTAGTAAATATAAAGGCAAGTACTAAGATAAACAAAACTAAAGTAGTACTTAATCAGTAATTGTCAAAATGCAAAAACATACATGTAAAAACTTTACACAAAGAGGACATGAGAGCCCTAACTCATCTGGAATATTGATATTTCAAAATAAATTTAATCTTGAGTTATTTTTAAAAGTCCATTTTAGAATGGTTAATATAAAAAATTTAGATTTTAGGATATGTAATAATCATCTGCACAAAAACAGGTGATTATATTTGACAGTGCTATACATTATTGCATACTAAAAAGTAAATATATATCTCTCTGTATCTCAAACTACTTGGTAAATTGACAACATCAATTTGAGAGTGTAAGTTTTTTATAGATTTAAAAGTGACATATAACAAGTAATATATCTTAACTTTTTTGGGAGGGATGAGATGACTATGTACTACTGATAGTAAACAGGATGAATGGCCCTGACAAAGTTATACTCTGCACACAGGTAGAGTATCCCTAATTTATCCAAAATCCAAAACTCTTTGAACATTAATATGATACTCAAAGTTACAGATTTGGAGCATTTTGGATTTTTTGATTAGGGCTGTTCAATTAGTAGTTTATGAAAATATTCCAATATGTAAAAGACTTTGAAATCTGAAGCACTTCTGGGTCCCAAGTGTTTCAGATAAAGGATATTTAGCCTGAATTTAGTACTTATAAAATGTTATAAATGAAATTCACATGAACTTCCTATGGGTCATGGATCAATGAATCATGGACATTTCACTGAGAATTTGATTCAAGTTTTAATTACAGATCTCCAAAAAATTACAACTCATATTACTTTGATGATGAAAACTAAAAATAAATACTTTTATTCCTTTAGACTGACCAATTATGTATTTATATTCTTTACAAAAAGTAATAAATATTCTTTTTCATACCTGCAGCTGCCATGTGTTCACTTGTTCTGATTGGCTGAAATCCCACAAAAGGTATCTGCATGGATAATATTAAACCCACAATGTAGAAAGTGCTATATGCTATAAAGACAAAATAGGAAACAAGAAATTTTATTTCTTCTAGTAAATAATCAAAACATTAAATCCCTAAATAATTTACTTGTTTTGGGAAAAGTTCGAACTGAATTTATAGAATCCTGACATAATCAATTTGATAAAGGTGATTAACCACTTTATAAATCATAAATATCCTATCACTTAAAAAATATAAAGTATCCCTTTGCATAATACTTAAAAATTACAATTGTATGCTTACCAAGTTTTCTATGATTAAAGAACTAAGTACACAGAAAGTCAAGCCATGAAACAGACCAGTTACTGAATTTAGAGTCTAATAAAGGAAAACTACTTGCTCTTAGCACAGTATACTATAGGATTCTTAGCTTATGTCAATCTTAATAAAGCATTTAGGCAAACTGGGGAGTGAATTACAATTTGTGTAAAAGATTTGTTTTGCATTCACATATCACTTTTATATACATACTCAATATTCTTTTCCCAAATGAACTATTAAAAACAGGTATGTTCAGGAATAGTAAAGAGCTACAGAATTCATTTATTTATGCTATACATTGTATAACATGTCACGTGGCATATACGTTTAACGTAATAGATGACAAAGAATAAAACTGCCTTAAAAGAAACTTCTGAAAGTAAAATTATGGACTATTAATATGTTATGCTGGCTCCTAAACTGTATGGTAAGAGTTGACTATTGTGTTAAGAGCTAAGAAGTAGCTCACAAATTTAGCAGAAAGGATTTAAGTATGCAAATGAAGTTTCCAATGATTTCAAGCTAATAGAGATATAGGAGACAGGAGAAGTAACCCACCCAATAATGTTCTTTCCAGAGACATTACTATTGGAATGAAATTACCCTCTATAAAGTACTCAAGCTGAAAGGCAAGGCAAGTTAAGGAAATGAAAATTTCTGTCATATGATTTGAATTGATATCTAATTTGACTGATGAAATCTTCTAATTCTATAAATTTCTTTTACAAAGTAGTCTTTTGTTGAATTTCTGACAAAAGTAGAATCACAGAGGCAGAACCAGAAAGGAACAGGAGGGTGGGCAAGGTCATTATCGAACATCAAACAACAGTATAAACCACAAACACTCAGTTTTCTGAATACAGAATGAGTTCAACCAGTTTTGTGACATCCTTCCAAACAACAATAACCTAAGATTCCATGTCCAACAGGACTTTTAAAAATCTGGAACTGAGAAATCCTAGACAAATACTGAGCATACAAAGTCATAACGAGAAAAATCTAGGCCTGAGAAAATGTGGTATCGTTATGTATTTTAAAATTATAGTTAAACCCACTTATATAAAACATTAAAAAATTACATCTAAAGTTGGATTTCTCTTCCTTATGAATACAAATGATCATGGAATGCTATAGTGTCACAGAATTTAGACTGAATAAATGATGCAAACAAATGAAAAAGTAATCTCTTTTTAAAAACTCTAAGACGAAAGTCATATAACGGAGCCATTTTACAGTGAACATTTAGGGACTTTACCTTTCTCTGGTCCTAAGTATTTTCATTTCCCTAGAAGAAACCCCATACCAATTATAAAGTTGGTCTCACTTATGTTTGTTTTGTACTAAAGAAACAGTACAAGACTTTACACTATTTTCCTGTAATCATTCTCCAGAATTAATCACTACAAAGTACAATGTGAACAAAAGCACACATTTGCAGTTACATTCATATTCTCTTTCTTTTCAAATGGCACCATTCTTTGCTTGACACTGTAAAAATGTCAGCAATTACTTGTTTGGCAACTATCGATGAAGATTCCCTGTAGGCGTTTTTGCTTAAGTTCATTTCTAGACATACTGAACATGAGTGGACTATGATAATAATCTCCTCTATCCCAATTAGCCTCACTTATACCTACCTACATGTGCCAAAGGAACAAGTTTGGATTCTGCAGTAAGTCAACAATAAGCATTTTCCTTGTAAGGAAACTGGACCTGGATCACCTCTGGACCACTAATCCACAGATGTTTACTTAGGGGAGTGTGTATCCTATCTCAGAGTACATTTCAGTGTGGAGGTAAAAAACGTTTAGGGTTGCTTGCCAGACAATCAGACTCAAATACTACAAATTTACCCTGCTTAATAATAGCACGTTTCTTTTTGAATTTATAAAATAACATATGTGTTAATCTCTCAATTTAAATCCCATTTATGAATCATTTTAAAATGCAGAAAACAAGAAACTGGATTTACTTGAGTAGATAGAAATGGTAAACTAAATTCTTATAAAATAAACACGACCCCCCCAAAAAATCTCTGCTGCAAAATAAAAGCATGTTTTTCTGCAGATTTTGTACCATAGCATCTAAAAATGTGCTTTAAATTACCTCTTTATACAAATGCATTCAAATATTAACTTGCATCTAATATAATCAAGGCATTGTTAAGAAAATAAATTCTAGCAAGATCAATCCTACTCAGCCTCCAAAGGTTACACAAAATGGTAAAACTAGGGGCATAAACAACCATAATACAATGGAGCAAATGTATCGCACTGGTATGGGAGGGGGTGCCTTTACAGAAACAAAGAGGCAAGAGATCTCATTTCCTCTTGACAAGGGCACGAAAAAGGTAGAAGATAAGGTCTATATTGCTCTCTACAACTCTCAGAACGTCTCAATAATACAACCATATAAAAATCATTCTCTAGCAATTCTACTTCCTATGAATTCTCTGGAAAGCCTGGCCAAACTATCCCCATCAACAACAACTTTACACTCATCCATGTTAACCTACTTTTCTTAGCATTTAAGCAAGAATATTAAAGCAATGAAGTGTTGAGCCCTAAGAAAATACACACCAATAATGTTATAAATCATTATTACATCATGAAAATACTACCACACTGCCATCCTGTGGAAGCACATTTATTGGCATTCATTACTACAGATCACGCTTCCAGTGTTAGAAAAATTCTGGAAAAATCACCATTAGAAAGATACGTACAAATACACAATATGTAAGTAGACACATACATATTCTGTATATCTTTAACCAAGGAAAATCTCTTTTATTCTGGACAAATAGCAATCTTCTAAACAGAGCCATGATGGCAAATGTTTTAGAGCTTTCCATGATATCAACAGCCTACTACAGCACGAGTACCTTCGGTGTGTCACCTCTAGACTAAACATTTTCTTTTACTCTTAAAACTCCATTAAATTAAATCACATTAGAATTTCTAAAATTCTCCACATCCTGGTTGATATTAAATGGAAATGGCTAATAAATAAAATACTCCTTTACCATCCAATTTCACTGCCAAACAAATTACCATTAAGCAAAAGAAACACACATACCTTAAAAATCTAAGTTGGTTTTATTACTAATAATATGACTAAAGATTTGTAAGAATGATGAAACTTTTAATTAAGCATCACACACACACGCACGCACGCACGTACGCACGCTGCTTCTTGACCAGCAGAGAAAATAATGAAAAACCATTTTTCCCCCACAAGGACACTACTCATGGTAAACTACATAGGACAGTGAATAACTTACTGAAAGTGATATTTTACAAACTCCAGGTATATACAAGCAAGAAACAGCTTACTCAAATCACTTGAACAGAAACTTATCATAGCATTTGAAAACAGCAAATATATTCATATCTATCCTGAAATGAAGGAGTGTTTCAGAAAAAGGAAAATTCTAGAAGAAATACATCTGGATTAAAATCTAATTCTATTATGTGGAAGCAATTCATTTAATTGTGGCAATGGTTAGTGAGATATCAAAGTTCTCTGCTACTATAAATACAATGTGTGTATCTGAAGACTATATGAAGAATTCATGAAATATATATAACTATTTCGTAAAAGTATTAGATAATGCTCCTCAGTAACTTCTAGGCCTTTGTTGTAATGTCAAAACCCAGTAATTTACATATTAGCAAATTTAATTCATAAACACAGCAAAACAGATTCAAAGGATTTATACTACACAGTCACAAATGTTACTAAAAATAAAAAATTAAGGCCTTCTCCTTTTCTCAATCTCAGTTACTACTGTAAGCAGGCTCCTACATACATCAACTACTACTACTTTACTATCACTATGCGTCTATTAACCTCTACACAGAAGTTAGTTCTTCTGGCCTATAAAACATGAAATTTTCTTTCTTTCTTTTTTTGGTATCGGGGATCAAACTCAGGTCTTGTGCTTGTGAGGCAGGCAGGGAACCACTGAGCTAAATCCCCTCCCCCCGAAACATGAAATTTTCTATAAGACCAAACCCTTAGAGATAATCTCAGTCTTTTCTTCAAGATAAAAGTACCAAATAATTTATTCTGCTTAGTTTTTAGAAAAGCCTTTATTTCTATTGAAAAACTTTTTTTCTGGTTGAATGAATGATTGCTGCTAAATCATAGGCAAGACTTACTCTAAATATCCTGAGTTTTAACACATGATGATACTGGCTTTATAAACTGAACAAGAAGTAAGATTTGATAGCATAGGCTGCAGAAGTAATAGCATCTTCTCATTGAGAGAATACACAACAGGTAAATTTTTTCCACCAAAATAATCTTCAAGATTCCTACTGAATAAAAGACAGTCTACTATAAACCAATCTACAGAAAACCCTCTGTCCCTTCCCCTAGTAGTCTATTATGACACTTATTTGGGAAACTCATGTAACCAATACTGCAAAACTTCTAACTTTACATGAAAACCTAGGACAAAACCCATAGGTAGTCCTGTTTGCTCTTGCTTCACATATGTACAATTTAAAAAGTACATAAAATAATTATCAAAAGACAGAATATGGATAAATTATGCATCCTAGGTAGTATGGGAAAATCATTTCAAGGTTATATGGATAAACTTAATATTTGAAAATAATGTATCTAATCTATTAGAGATAGGTATACTTTCTTGTCTTGGTAATATTTTACTTGCCAGAAATATAAAATACAGCTTTTTACTATTTTCTACAACTTAGATAAAAAACTATCAAAATGATGC